GCTTGCACCGAGCTGAAGCGCGAGTACGACCAGTGCTTCAACCGCTGGTTCGCCGAGAAGTTCCTCAAGGGCGAGAGCGCCGGGGACCCCTGCGGGCAGCTCTTCAAGCGCTACCAGCTCTGCGTGCAGGTGCGTCCGGCCCGGCCCGGCCCGGCCCGGCCGCTCAGCTCAGCGCACTGCGAGCTCCGAGAAACGCTCCCTCCCGCTGGCATCTCCTCGTCTCCGAGAAACAGCCCAGCGTATTCGCTCTCTGCCCCAAGTGTTCTTCCACCGGACTTGTTCCTCTCGCCGCTCTCCTGGTAGCCCCAGGAGAAGCCTCCGCCCCGCTGCGCACCCCACCGCGCTGCTTCGGATTTCCTCTTTGCCTCCTCTTTCTGTCGGTCATGACGTACAATATTTTACAGGTGTCTCTTACTGTATTTTTCTCGTTAGTGTAACATCTTAAGCCTGCCGGTTTAGAGGCCATAGCATGCTTATGTGACAGGACCCAGACTGTAGTTCAGCATGAGCCCTCAGTGCGCACTTGAGCATCTCTAACGTTGAAGCTTTATCCATACCAGCCTTAAGACTACTTTTTCTAGATCATGTTTTGTACCAAAGATTTCATCACTTAGCACTATAAAGATGTGTCAAGAGTGCTGTAAAGATGTGTCAAGTTTAAGTTTTTGTTTTTCTCCTTTTCAGAAAGCTATCAAGGAAAAGGACATACCCATTGAAGGGCTGGAGTTCATGGGCCCAAGCAAAGGAAAAACTGAAAACTCCTCTTGACCTCAGCTGTGCGGATGGAGTCACTAACATGAGCCTTTGGACTACACAACATCACCAGGCATACGACTGGATGACACCTGGATAAGACCTTTGTTAAGCTGCTTTCTAGGAAGCAAGGAATCTTCTCTGCTTGTAAAAACAAACGGCCACAAAAAAAAAAAAAAAAAAGACGGGATCATGTGGTAACTCCTGCCTCCTTTTCAGTGAATTTTGGTGGTGGTTCAGCATCTAACAGCGTGAAAAGCCATTTGAACTAACTTCCTCTTGAATGTACTCTATAATGGGAGAATGCTTATTAGAGTGGGCTGAGATAGTAGTTGCTTTGTGACTGATTTCTCTTGCTTTTTTATATAACACTTGAAGTGTTTAGAAAGAATATGAAGGAGGTTGATTTACTCTGGCTCATCTCTATGCTGCTGAATTTTGGTGGAAGAAGTTTGCTTTATGTGATACTGAATGCTCCGGGGCTGAAGCGTTGTTATGTGTCAGCAACAGAGACGGTATAAAAGCACTCTATTGGACCTGCAATAACTTAGCTAAAATAAATATAACCAAGTTATATTTTGTTCAAGTAGATAACTGTCTGGTAGAATCTGATTGTGACCTCTAGGAGGGACAGAGGTGGCCTGCAACAGAAGCTGAAGAAGATGCTTTTAATGCAAAGGCTACTTCTTCAGCCTTTTGAGGTACTGAAACAATCCTGAACTTGAATTCTCTCTCCTTTAGCGTTACATGTTCCTGCAGTAAAACTGCAGCGCGGCCCTGGCCATCCTTTCCACCCTACTGCAAAGCACCAGGCTGGCCACGAGCACGGTTAGACCTTTGCTTCTGGTAGTTAAAGTGTGTGTTGAATGATGGACACGTTGGGTTGAAGCTTGACAGCTGATGCTGTTCAGAGCCCCGGCTGCCCCTTGGGGATCTCAGCTGCTCACGAAGCTGCGCCTGACTGTGTGTCCTTTACACCCGGGGAAGCAAACGGGAGTTATTTGTGCTGGCTTGTAAACTGCAGAAACGCTTGCAGCAACTGGAAGAAGGGTGTTTGGAAGAAAAGCAGAGGATCAGGATCCATCCCGTCCAGTGGCCATGGGAGCACTGTGCCAGGGCAGGAGCTTTCAGTTGATCCTCATACAGGGATGGGGAAAAGGTGTTCCCTCTCATTGCACCAACACAGGTGAAAGAGTAAAAAACACTAAAGCCTGGGGACAAAAAAAGAAGTCAACTTCCTAATTTCATAGAATTACAGTGAGGAAAAAAGTGAGCTTCTCTTTGCTTTTAAGCACTGCCTGAAGGATCATTCAGAGGTTTTACTTTTTAAAAAAAAAAAAAATTAAAAGGTGCAGTTCTCAACCATAATAGCTGGCTTGTCTGCAGCACAGCCCCTCAGTAATGAGCCCAGACATGGAGAGCAGTGGGACTTGTGCAGAGGCTGAGGAACTGCAGCAGACTGGGGCCACCGTTCCCCACGTCTTCAGCAACGCCCTGAACACGTCAGCGGGAGCGCAGGCAGGTAGCCTGGATTAGCCACGTTCCTGTTCTCCGGTGCATGAGGCAGCTCGGGCAATGTCAGTAGGGGAATTAAATGTAGCACTTCAGAAACAAGCTGTTGGCACTTAAACCACTGGGTCACTCAGGTGTAAAGAAAAATAGTAAGCTAAGGGAAAGGTCTTTATACAAGCACCATAAATAGCATTTTGGGGACTGTCACGTATGCAGCTTTTTTCTTCCCCAAGAAATAACATGTACAGCCAGTTTGCTTTTCTATGATCTTCATGTGTCATTTTCGTTGTTAGCTTTGAAACAACTGTGCCCATCAGTGCCTTGTTCTGTGCTTTTAACACAGAAAAGCTTGTCATAGCAGTCATTTTACAAGTAAGTGGATGAAATAAATTGCATTGAAACACGGGGAAGGGTGTCCTGCAGTGCCCACTTTGAGATTCTCACTTGCCATCCATCGTACCTTCCAGCAGCAAGATGCCAAGTCATCGGCTCATTCTTCCTTTTGGGAAAAACAGTATTAATGATGGCTAAGACCAAGCGTGCTCTTTCATACCATGCAAAAACCACAGAACTTGCAGAAGGACTAAGAAACTGGTTGACTTGCAGAGAGGGAAACCTTCAAAATTAATATTGTACTGGAACAGACTCAGGACTTTAGAGTTGGCTGTTAACTAGGGAAGATGATTAAGCTCTTCTAGGTTAACAAGGTTCTGAGTAACACAGTATATGTTATACAGATACGTGCAATGGAGCAAAAGTTACGTTGACATTTGTCACACCTGTATGAGACCTTGTACAACCAGACTGCAGCTTTATGAAATGAGTTGTGAGCAAGGTACGTGCCGATATATGAGAAAATTTGAGAACTGAAGATTAACATTGTGAAGGCACACACAGCTTAACTAAACCTCTGTGCCGCCACTCCCTTGCCCAGAAGGGGCTACAAGAAAATTGCCTTCATGACTGTTAATAAATATTGCAACAGCTGATTATGGAGAACGTGCCTCAGTATGTACTGAATTTTAATCTACAGTATTAGCCTGATACCTGTTCATCTGGCTGTGAGCTGTGGGTTTACAGTGACCAGTTAAACCAGACATGAAGAATATGAAATTGAGTAATGTCTGCTGAGTGCGTTCCTGTTGTTAGCGTGACCAGATACAGGAGCGGGTATTAACATTCAGGCAGTCAAACCCCTTTGCTCCTGCACTGTATCCTGTGGGAAGCCTCCATGTTTTACGCAAACACTGAACTAAAGAACTTCTAAGGATTCAGATTAACAAAAAGTCAAGATCCTAAATTCAAGTTCAGAGTTGTTTATTTAAAGGACCTCAACACAAGTACAGACAGAGGCCACTTCAGCCATTCAGCTTCATCACAGAAGGAATGTAGAGTTTCTTAAATGATGGTTCCCTAAATGATGGTTCCCACATAACATTCTGGTCCAAGGGGAAGAGCCAAAGTTCTGGCTGTGGTCAGGATCTTAGTTTTCATCTTCATAACCAGTTGGGAGAGCGTTAACGTGGGGGTTGTGGAATAGAGTTTTGTTCCCATCACCCCAGGGGAAACGCTGTTGAAAGAAGAAAGAAAACAAGGCAGTGGCAGCTAACTGAACAATCTGCACAGCTTAGGAAACCAACAGCAATATGGACTCAAACAAGGGGCTGATGAATTTAGTAAGTTGGCATCTGTTCCCAAGCTGTAGGAAGCAAGAGTTGGAAAACGGTCTCCCATAACTGGGAGCCACCATCTCCAGATCTTCGCTCTTGCTTAAACATCAACTGTGCTATACTATGGGACCCCAGTTTTGAGAATTTGAGATCTCCTCTGTGAGGTTTTAGATCTGTACTAGTTTAAGGTTAAGTACAGCAGCTCTAGGACTGAAACGTTTTTCAGCAAGGCATGAGCAGGATTCCTTGGGGGTGGGAAGGCCCGTGAATACCACGGGTACTTCACCTGAGCTGTGAGAAACTTTTGCTGCCTCAGAGACAAAGCCACGAGTGAAGATCACGGCTACGTGCGCAGCGCCTCACATAGCAGGCAAGAAAGCAAGAGACGTTGTAGTAATCTCAGGTGAAGCTCTGAAATCACGGGGGGAAAGCAGGCCTTTAAACAGAGCAGGTGAACGTACCTTGGTCCTGATCCGGAGGTGAGCGTAAGGGACAAACTCGGGTCGCTCGTGCTCGTGCTGTGCCTTCAAGTAGCTGTTCAGCATGCAAACGCCAACGCCGGGCAGAGCCACAACGAAGGTCAAGAGCTTCCACAGGCGGGCTAGTAGGAAGCGTGACATGGATTAGAACGATAATCACCGTTTCCGTTGGCGTTAGGGACCTGAGAGCACGTTAACCGCAACGCGTACCCTAACGAGGATTACGCGCCGTGCCTCTCCCCAGAGCGCGGGTCGCCGGTTTTAGCAGGGAGGCGAGAGCTCCCCTCTCTTGCGGGGATCCCGGGCTCACGGTTC